ATCTAGATAGACGTAAGATGTTACATTATTATAATCGTTAAAATATCTTTATAAACGTAACGACGATGTTTCTACAATATTCAGTTAAATAATCAATTTTTTTCGCACTTGCTTGAAATCCTTATGATAACCAGTAAAAGTAATAAATTTATTTGATAATATTATACTTTTTTGATGGGTTTAAAAATTTGCAGGACATTTACGTTACGTTGTTCGTAAATATAAATGTCATATAAAAAAGAACATACGTTTTTTAATTATAGTCTTGTCTTTCGTAACGCGATTCACACATGCGATTACCTAATGCACAATAATTAATGACCATGCGACATATTTTCGTGATAACACACTGCAGCTCTGCAGTTTGCTTTTATTTTACACTCCGAAATTACATGGATCTTATACGTAAAGTATTCTTACGAATATATATACCTACATTTATTTATATATGTATGTATACTTCATCTGTTCGACACTGCCTTCATTGTTTTGCCGCGCCTACTATTTCGCTCGTCACATCAGTGGTCTGCAACAAAGATAACGATTTTTCATTTGTCAATAAATAAAATTAGAAGCAGCTTCGATTTACCGAAATACAAAAAATTCGACAATTTTTTTAATAGTATCTCATGCCTTTATAACAAATTCATATATTTTAAGGCAAATTTAAAAGAATATTTAATTTTTCATTTCTCGAAATCGCGAAATAATATATTAGAATTAAGTAAATCGGATATTCGTTTAAGGCATATAACTCTTCTTACAATGTGGAGAATATTCATGTATTTCTTAAATCTATGAGCGGCTCGTCCCACAACCGCTCAAATTTATGATACGGCTAATAAGTCAAAGAATTAGATCCAATCTGCTCATTAGACCTACATGTAAATCCTCGACAATATTTCGGCATTAAATAGGGTTAGTAAGTTTCGGCGTACGTTCGCGTATGAATATACATGGCTATACTTAGTAAGCTTCCGTATAGTTTATGCGAAACAAGGAATTAACATAATATGCTATAAATAACACCGTTACAATAAGTGCGGCGCCGTTTAATAGGCACTTCTAACTTTAATGAATTTCACTCAGCTTCCTTGGTGCATAATCAAGACACGCGCACTCTTTAACGGGCCGCAATCGTTTTCATCAAAAATCCAAGACCGTCCTTTGTAACAATAACGCGCGAATAAGGGTAGAACAACGGTTCGCTTTCTCTCGGGCAGGAAATGGCATCCTAATTAGCTTGACGTTGCGACGCACGCGATGCAAGTCTCTCTCTCTCTCTCTCTCTCTCTCTCTCTCTCTCTTTTAACGCCCGTTTTAATTGCGAACTCGTGAAGCAAATTGACCGACGAGCCGCGGCCGTCGAAAAATACGACGGCGCAACCTGTTCTCCAATCTCCATCCAAACCAGACGAGCCCGTGCGCCGCGCTGCACCGCGCGCCCGCTTCGCGTAGAGCTGACGCGTTTTAACTAATTGATGCCGATATATAATAAACCCGGTACCCCGGGCTATTCCGTTATGTAAATCCGCCAGGCTGTAAAATAATTAAAACGCCTGTGCAGCGTGCGCGGCGTTAGCCCGCCGGCATACCGTATAGCGAGGTATTGCAACTATGCACTATGTGTCGGTGCAGTCGATCGCGCATGCCGCATTCGCGCGAACAAATCTCCCTGGCGCGCGCGCGCGCGCCGCATGGTCTGAATTAGAAATTTACGAACGGCAACGGCGCGGATAATCGGCGCCCGTATGACAAACGATACTTCTGGGCGTTTTAATTAGCCCGCGTTTCTCCGCGCATTACCGAAGACGTTGCGCGCCGTGTCGCGTCGCGTCGTGCCGCGCGCGCGTTTTGTTGCCGTTGTTGTGTAACAGCTATGGGACTTTAAGCGAAAGGATAAAAAAAAAATAAAGAGAGACACGGTGGGAGCTAAAGGAAAGGAGAAAAAAAAGAAGCTCTTGCCCGGCGATATAAATAACGCTGCTTTTTGCGCCGGCTAATTAATGAACGGTTTTATCGCCCGTGTGCGGTGCGGCGCGGCGATGCGCGAACAAACGCGGGCGTGGTAATAAAGGCCGGCATTATGAAAATCATGAAAAATTCACAACGTACGCGCGCGAAATAATGGTTAAACAGCCTGATATCCAGCCGTATATATTGCTCTGCATTTTGTACACTGATGCTGTCAAAATCGCACCGGCGCGGCGCGGCGCGGCGTCGCAAATTCCCTCACTTCTTTTTATATCAAAATGGGATGCTCGAAATTGAAAGTAATATTAATAAGATTATATTCTGTATATAGGCGGCAAAGTAATCTCAATGCTTTGTTCGTAATAATAATAGCACGATAATTAGCTCTAACAATAAGCACATTTTAGCGTATAACTATAAGATTAAAAATTAAAATGGTTATGCTATAATTATAATCTTTACTTTGTAACTTTTTTCGATCCATACTACGTGAAGCATTGTAAGTATAATAAAAATTTTATAAGAACAATAGCGGACACTTTTGATTTGAGATCATATCTCGTACCGCGTATTTTGATTTTAAGTCGCAGATATTACAAAAATAAGCTTTTTATAAATAAAATTGCAGCTCCTGATTATAACGGCTTTCAATAATTACGTTCTGTTAAGTGCGACACAATGGAAATTTATTACAAAACATAAATATACAGCTAATTAATTTATCGAATAAAGTGCTAAATGCATAAATTATTCTATTCAAAACAATATAGTGTTAGAGGCAATATTATTTGTACGAAACATATGTGAACCGATGAATCACGCAATGTGACGATTGACTTTATTCGCTTTTATCTACATTTTCTGCATTGTGGCTTTGCATATACTTCATTTATTTATATTAATAAAATTTTTATCTCTATATTACATCAAATAAAATAATTGTTTATATCTCTTAAATAAATGTTATGATTTTTAAATAGAAAAAAATATATGTTATATTTGCTTTATATTCTTTACACTTTTGAATTTATTAATCGATTATTAAAAAAATAAGTATTTCTTTTTTCTTTCTTTATCTCTCTTTTTTTCATCACTTTGTTTCTTATTATTTTTAGAAAGATTAAAGAAATTATTAAATAATTCAAGATTAATCAAACAATATATATAACAAAAAATACAGATAACTTATAATATATCCGATAATATTTTAAGCTTCTATAAATATTTCTTCTTTTTATGCAAAAAAATAAAAGTTTATGTTAATACATACATTAAACTAAGTTTAAAAAGCTAAAAATAAAATATTTTGTATTTCTTATAAAAAATATAGCATAAATTAAAAAAAATAAAACTAAAATATCAAAAATAAAAATTTTAAAAATAAATGTAATATAATATTAAGTATTTGTAATATAATTTTTATTAAACGTAAAACGTGCTGCACGTACAGTTATGTTTTTGTGATATACATTTGTCCATGATTAAAATTATTTATGATTTTATCAATATAAAAGAAAACTTTTGCGCAAAGTGCTATAAGTTGAAAATTATTTTACATCCGCGACATATATTTAATTTTTGTTTCAACTTTTTAAAAAAGATTCTTCAAAACTTTTTTCAAAAACATGAAAAAGTTCAATATCAATATGTTCGTATTTAATGATCACTTTTTTAATAACAACTTTTATCACGATGGTGATCTCTGAATCTGAACCTGAACCATACATCTTAAAAGTTCCGACGTTTGCACCGTGCCCTCCTGGTAAAGTATTCGTTCGTTCCAGATGTCGCCAGGTTTACTAAATTTAAAAACAGGTATAATTTGTTTATACATATACACACACAATATATTTTGTAATAATTGTTTTACAAATTTTTTAAATTATAATTTTTTTCATTTTTATTATCATATTTTCCATGAATAATTATCATTTTTTCCATTGACTTGACAATGTATTAAATAATTAACATATTAATTTTAAAATTGTAAAAATAAAATTAATTGTAAAATTCATTTTAAAAAGTCCGAAGGGATAAATTGAGAAAGACTCACCTCAAGAGAGCACGCGAATTACATGTCAGAACAAAGAATATTCGTAACTTGATAAAATAACGGAGTGGTGCGCATACACTCTTAATCATGTATCGCCTAGTACCTCCAAATTTGAAGTATTTTTTTGAACATGGAAATGACATTTTGAGTTACACACTAAAAGGAGGTATTTTTCGCGATATATTAGCACGAGGTACGGAATATACGAGGTAATAACAAATTTGGCGATAATACAATTGGAGATACTGCTCTTCTGCTGCTTCTGCATTCTGGAGGTGCTGCATCTGAATTCGCGATATTTTTCTTTTGGAGGTACAAGGCTTCGAATTCATACCTCGTGTATATAATACGAGGTACAAAATTTTGCATATGTACCTCGTGTATATAATACGAGGTACAAAATATTTCGTATGTATTTATAAATACGAGGTACTCAGCGGTAAAAATGTACCGCCAGTGTTTGGCAAGTTCTTCTTTCTTGATCAAATGACAAGACAATTGATTAAAGATTTCGTGTACCTCCAATTTTTGGCGGTACATATTTAAGGGATATACTTATGTCCCTTGTAATTACGTAGGATTTATATTTCAACGTGTACCTCAAATTTTTAGCGAATCATAACATGATTAACTCTAGACTACCACACCATGTTTGCCACCCCAAATCAAACCACACTGGGTAATAAAAATAATTTTATAATTTGTAATTTTGTAAAATGGTAATTTGGTATTATATTCTATATTTTATCCCTTTTTTTTTAGATATATTCTAATGACATAATATTATATCATTTTGATTAGGCCATTCTTTATTCTGAAAATGTCTTTTCTAAGAGCACAATTCATTAGCACAATATTGGCCCAACATATCCTCAATAGACGCCAATGTTTAACTATTGTATTATCAATGAACATGTATTATACTACTAGGGTTATTGTTCGAAAGTAAACTGAAATAATTGATTACCTGTTTCCAACAATGGTCTTCAAACGAGTCCCTTACGCCATCGGGTCACCCTTCACATCAGCCTCACGTTCTGTTCCTCGTGATGCAAGGTGCGCAGATGTATGCTAGGACCATACCGCCGCCCAAGATCAGAGCGATCATAGCCATGGTCGTCCACGTGGCCGAGCTCGAGGTAACGCGGGTCGGCACCAGCCTCTTTATCGCCGGCAACTCGGCGACCTCCTCGGTCGCCAAGCCCCACCTCCTGGCCTTGGCGATAAGGGACCTCAGGCGCCGCGACGCCTTCTCGCAGGACCTCCTCGACGTCCGCTTCGATAAGCCGTCTAAACAGTTCCCGAAGTGTCCCATAATATCGCGACGTGTCTCATTCTTAAGTCAATCCAAGTGCTGCGACAAGTTCCGAACCGCGATCGACCGAAACTGTCGTGAAGTATGTCCTAGTAATCGGGCAGCGGGGGCACGTAAACCGACGTGCGAGTCCTGTCTCACTCGCTCAATGCTATATCATGATCCGCGCCATTTTCGAAAATCGAGGGGGGATATTATATCCTCCGAAATTCGAACAGCCCTCTCGATTTACGCCGTGCTCCGACTCGAAGAAGATCGGATCTCTTCTGATAAATTAGCATTGTATAGTGACTGGTGATGCGATCCTCGTTCTGACAGACTTTGCTGATCATTATGGGAATTTTCGTGCTACAGTTTTTGGCACATTATTATTCCAACATTGAAATTATCTTTGGTACATTTGTCATTGTTAAATGAAAGCGATTGATCTTGCGGTACGTAGAAGAATCACTTTTACGCGTATTTAGCACAGTTTGTGTAGCTCCATCCTCTAACTGTTTAATACGTGTTCTTTATTAAGAAACAGTGCGGCCAAAATTTTTATCTAGAAAAGATGAAAAATAATAAATCAGTGTGACGTTTAAAAATAAAGGACGAAATGTGATATACAGTAACTCAATATAAAATAACGTAGCGGAAAGTTCCAGTGAAATTAATATTAATTCTAAAAATATTATATGCAAATTAATGAGCAAAATTTTCTACTTTAAAGCTCGAATAACGAACGGGATTAATAAAAACTCCAATAAATGTTTAAACCTGCAAAACCGTGTAAATATTAATAATATGATCCTTGAAGTGCATATACGAAATAAATTATTATTTCATAATTATTTCATAATTATACACGGATTTCTCTGTAGATTAAAATTCTATGTAATGCTGTTGTGCGCGCAAACACTCCATTATTCGCCCGCATCTTTTTTTACGCAATTGAGTAAGACAGCCATTAATTTGCACATCGATCCAAACCAATCGGCGAGTTGATGAAACCCGGACCGCTTTTAATTCTCTTTCGCACGACCGGGCACGGGGAAATTGTAATTGCCCGGCTCTATGAATAATGCAGCACGAATCGAAGTAAGGAGAGCAGGGTTCGTCTTTCGCGCAAAGAAAGGGGGTGAGAGAGAGTGAGAGAGAAAGGGGCAAAAAGTTCCCGATCCACGGAAGCCGTATGCCGCGGAAGCGAACTAAGTTCCGCCTTAAGTCGATCGCCGATCCCGCGCCGCGGGATTACATTACCCGATTACATTGTTGCCGTCACGCGAAATCGCCGCGGATTACATTACATAAGCGAGCCTTTCGCCCATTCGCGCGTCCTAAGCCGGCCTAATGCATCCCCCTTTCTCACGCCGCCGACTTCAGATTACATGACGATCGGCTAACTTTAAATTATATTTATGCCCAATTCACCGGGGGGCGCGTGTTTACCCCGCCACGGCCAACTGAGGATTTACGAGCAACGACGAGATGGGTTCGTCTATTTCCCGATGTTTACGTGCCGAGTGTACCGGTGTTACTCTCGCTGACGTATGGAAGCTCGTTCGCGTACGCCAGATAACTTTGCCTCGTTCGACGTTGACTTCGACTCCTTAAAACTCGGCGCGTGCCTGAGTTACATGAAAACTACTACTAAAACGAACGACTAACGTATGATTATTATTTTAATTATTCATCACTTTTAGCAAACCAACAAACAAGATATGATTTTTTATTAATCGTTATTTACATGATCTATATATTCATTTTTATATTACATATGTATTTATATATTAACTTTTTTAGTTTATCTAATTGTAAGAAAAAGAAATTCAAATGGACAAGACTTAATTTCATTCTCTGCGTTAAAGACAGAGTTGTGAAACTCGTACGTAACAAGATGTAAATTAAATGTTTATTTTTTATTAAATTAATATTCTAATCTTTATAATAAATATAATAAAAGCAAATTGAGAAATTTAACAATTATCTATCGTTCATCTGTAATTGCAAATTTTATCCCATTTCATCAGACGGTAGAAGAACAGAATTAAACTTCTGTTCCTTCGAATATTTTGATAACAATGTTGCGTAAAATAAGTTTTTAATTTTCACAACTTCAATTTCTCGCTTCTTTAATTTCCCGTAATATTTCTGGAAAGCAATTCCGCGCTTTCTTCCGAGAAACACGTCGAACGTTGTACGGGAACCAAGACGAGTGCATGATAAACGACACGCTTTCTGTTACAGGTAAAACAATTTCGCCAGCGTCCGCAATGAGACGTTACTCGAGACTATTATGTCGCAGAAAAGTGGACTATAAGAACAATCTGCACTAATAAGTGCGCGACTCGTTTCACGTTCGGCTCGGTCTTCGCGGCAACGGACCCTGAACTACATTCACACACCATTTGTCTAAAGCTCAGTTTATGACCTGGAAATAATACCGTTATATCAGTAGCTTATCGCGGTTTCGCTCTCGATACTCGAGTTATTTATGAACTTCTCATTGGTCTGTATCAGTTTCTTATATATCAGAATTTAGAGATATTTCGAAACTGCAGGTCACGAAATTTCTAACTCGCGAAAACAATTTTAATGAACATACTAATCATTAGCCGGAATATTCAATTTTTTATTTTATAAACTAAGTTCTTTGTATTATAGTTATAGCTACAGACATATATATGTCATAGAATTATTTCAACAGTTTTAAATATCAACAGTTTATGTATCTATAATTTGCCTATGTGTTCTATATCTATCTATTACAATTTTGTCCATTTTCATCAATTTTATTAACCAGCAAAGTCGTGATTATAATTTCAAATTTGTAGGTTATACTAGAATAAATCATTATGTATTCTGAAATCATTTTTTATACAATAAAAATGTATTGATACATTCACGATTTTTTATCGAGAAAATGTAAAGCAAAATTATTTTTTAAACTAATATATATTAAATTTTTAAAAATTATATTACCAATTAAAAAAATCACTTTTTATTAAAAACTTGGAAAATCTTAAAAAGAATCAATTTAAAACGCGTTATTAATATTTCAAATTCTGTTTTTATTATGAACTAAATATATAATTATTATTATTATAGTTGTTTTTATTTGGATATTATTATTTATAGCAAATTCGTACGAAATTTCACTTGTGTATTTTAACAGGCACTTAATATTTCCAACATTTGTTCAACCTGATTCGTAATGTCAGCAGCGATTGCATTATGCAGCGTGCTTAATAAAGTTTTCGAGAAGAAATAAACATGGTAAAGTGAAATCGTTTCGAAAACCTTTTCGATTCACTTCAAATTATTTCGCATAAAATAAATACACAGTGAAGACAATAAGCAGTTTACGAAAAGTTTATATAAAAACGAGTACATTTTTAATTATTAGAATAATATATTATATGTATAATTTGACTTTTTATTAAAATAAAAATAAATATATAAATTTATTATAATCTTATATTAAACAAAAATTTGCTTGTAGCAAATATACGAACGCAAAATGTATCGAATATATCTAAATACATTAAACTGCAACATAAATACATATATTAAAACTGTAACAATATTCTTATACATATATGGCAAATTGAAATATTTCGTACAATTTCATAATTCAACAATTTTATAATTTATTTTTTTATAATTGTCAATTTTTTTATAAAGAAAAAATTTATATAAATTTGTTACTATAGCGTACCTTTTTCTGACATTTATAGCAAAATCCATACAATTGTCAGCACATAATTGTCTGTGACAAACATATATTTAGATACAGATATCCACATCAATCAACACATAATCTTCAAATTTTTTTACTTTATTTATTCGCAAACTTTTTATATATGATTATGATAAAAATAAATTATTTAAATCGCATATTGATTTAATTATTAGGTATTTATTAGCACACTGTGAATAAATTAAATAAATAAATAAAAAATAAGAGTAAAAATAGAAAAAACTTCCTCCTTTCAATTTGACAAAATCCAGGTCCAACTATAAAATCGCGTTCGTCTCAGTCAGCTTTTTGTATGAAAAATATACAGGACGAAGATCTTTAAATGTTTATGTACAAATATCAAGAAGTATACGCGCCGTTTTGTAACCACGTGTCACGAGTTTTCACGTGCCAGCGCTGTACGTTACATCTCCGACGGACGTCGCGGCGCTTACTGCCGAGGCGTCGAACATCCACGACTCTTTATGCAGCAGAACCACCCCCGATCACCCCCAGTCGCCCTTCCGCCGGTCTTTCTCGATCCAGCGGCGACGCGGCGCGAGGCTATCGAGAGACTGTATGTACGTCGAATCTCAACGCAGCTATGTTTGCAGAACTCGATATCCTGTGTTGGCAAAGCCGAAATTAAGACCGATATTAATCCTTTGACCATCCTTGCTATACTCTTTACGGTCACCGACGTATCTAGAAGATATATGTATTTGAGATATTGAATCCCATTTTGTTTACAACGTTATTCACTCAATATAACTGTCTCGTTTCTCTGCTTCAAATATTATTGCATCTAATTTTATTTAACTTTAAATATTATTATATATTTAACTTTATTTTAGAAATTTTATAAAAATATATATGTGAACTTTATGTGAAGTATACATTTTATTGTAAAGAATAATTAATAATATTTTTTATATCTGATAATATGTTTTAATAAAAATATTAATAACACAAAAAAGTTAAAAGATTGTTAAATATATATAATTATTTAATATTGATTAGATATACTAAATTTTACATTTATTTTTTACATTTATTATTCCGTTATTTTAGTTTCCTTGAGATCTACTTGTCATAACAAAAGCACGTTATAATGGAATGAACACGTAAAACTAATTGCGTTGTGAATTATTACCTTGTGTATAGACCGAAATAATTACGTACATATTTGTACTCCATCGGACTGCGCGTTCACTCATTTAATGCAATTTTAACGAGATTCTATCAGTCCGCATCGGCCTGTCACATACGCAATATCGTTAATGGTAGTCGGCGGAATTGTATGGAATTACACATCATCACCGCAATCATTTTGTTTCTCCAATCAATTCCGCTGCCCCCAAATATAATCTTGCGTTCCCCATGCAGCTATGCAAGACCCGTATTAATCAAACAAAATTGTATCGCGCTATACGATTGTAACGAGCGCGTATCGCTCGTTAGTAATTAGCCGCTCGTACCTAATTATTTGCTCGCAACGCACTCAGCAAATCTGCCACAGAATAAGCGCTCGCTACCTTGTTATACTTTCCTCCAGAAATATTATCTGATTCGTCAGCTTAATGTCGTTCATTCCAAACAACAAAATGTACAGAAAATAATATAAAATGCATTAAGAATCATTATTCATTTTTTCATTATTACTTTAGTTTAATTTTTTTTCCCCAGGCGTAAATTTTATATATTCTTTTAAAAATTATTGCAGGCAAATTTTGACGAATAACAATCTGAATTCATGAGCCGTACAATTAGAAGTTCTGTATAAATTATAACTATTCTGTACAAATCATAATGTGCGAATGAAAGTAGCATGAACCAGAGGGTAATGCAAAAGATACTCAAAGGTACATTTTCCGCGCCGTCGAGAACATCAAGACTTTTACCGTCTTTCTAAGCACAGATGCTTCAGACAAAGCTCCGGCCGAGATCCGCGTATCCGCGCGCAGTCGTTAATGAGAGAGAATGGAATTACCTGACGCTACTTGTTGCCATGTACCAAAGCCAAAAGCACCTGTTCTGTTACGCAAGAGAGAACAAAGCCTCCCGTCCGCTCGTAACATTGTCGTAATCACTGAGGAACAATATATATCACCAAGAAATGCGCTGGTGTGCGCAGTCAAATGGAAACCGTAACGAGAACATATGACAGAATATATCGTTTTGCTAGCGCGGAGGTGGCAGGTTTTGAAATTAAGTGGCAGAATATGATCAATTAAACTGAAGACCTATATTAGCTTGAAATACATAAAATTGTTTTAGGGAAGAAAATTTCTATCTAATTTAATTTATTTGTGAATATATATATATTTTTATTATATAATTTAATAACCTTGTTCTAAGAAGATTGATTTATTAGTTAAATTAACGATTAATTTAATTTGTGATATTATTATCCAACTTCAGTTTATGATTGCGTTTCAAAACCGATAGTAATCGACGTGCAATTTATACAACTAGAAGATGTATTTAAAAATTTACATAAATATTATTAGGCACCAAGCTGTGTATTTGATCCTTTATTTATTTGATTTATTATCATTATTATTATTATTATTATTATTTATCTTCAGAAAGGAAGGAGAAACTATAAAGTTTTACAAGTTAGATAAAAGAAAAACAAAGATATTTAATATGTTGTCAAATAAAAATATGTAATGTTATTTTAAATTTCCTTTCTTGGAAGTTTCCCTTTCTCATAAAAAAAAAATAAAAATAAGTATAAAAAAATTAATATATATTTTATCAATTTTATAATAAAAAAGCTATAATATACATATCTTTTGAGAAATAAAATTGTATTATCTATTTGTAATGTAATTTTTGCGTGTCCTTGACACACATCCTTTACTACAAATGGTATAAAAGGAGAATTTCTCACAAAACGCTACAAAATCAAAGTTATTTCACATTCGTGACTGCTTCGCGACACTTTTACAAAATTCCAGATTTCATTTTTGTTTTAGTAAAGTGATTTTAAATAAAAGTAAAAGTAAACATGAAGATTGGCCACATTACTGCGTATCTAATGGTTACAATAATATCAACATTTATCGCAATGGTGATCACTGAACCAAGTCTTATGGATGTTGGTCAATGTCCTGTTGGTAGAATAAAAGATCCCGTTACTGGAACGTGCCGCGAACTGGTAGATTAAAAACAGGTATGATTTGTTTACAAATTATTTTTAAATGCATTTATAAATACATTCTCTTTTCATCTACAATCTCTTCTCCTTTTGTCATTAATCAAGATAAATGCTAGAATAAATGCGATATCATAGTATATTTTAATGTTACGAAAAGTCATTTTCTTTCGTGTAATTGTAATTCAATTATGTTTCCAATAAGCTGCACACATCAATTTTATAGCAATCTTGAAAACTCAAAAAATTATATCTAATAATAAAATTATACGTAATCCAATTTCGTTAAATTAAAATTAGTATATTTTAATTTATTCATTACTTCATTAAAATATACGCTGCATCTTTTGCGTTTTCACGAGGTTGCTATATTTCTATAAATACTTGATGCGAAGCGTCTTATCGTGTCTTCTAATCCATATGTATATGCACATATTTAAGACATTTTTGTAAAAAATTTTAATGTAATTTGTTAGGAGACGCGGTAATCAGACAGCACGATATTCATAGAACGTTATAGGATATTTTTACATCCTTAGAATGTTCTATGATTCTATGAATGCTGTCTGAGTAGCGGCTCCCGACAAGCATGTATTAATTTCCATGATGTATTAATTATTACATTGGGTAAACTGAAAGTTTTGACACATAGTGACACTATCAATTTTTTATTTTTAGGTATACGTACTGATGGCAATGCGATTGCATTTGGTATTCAAGTAATGACGAATATTATAAATAATTTTATGCATATAAAGATTATAAATGTATACAATCAGAAGTGACAATGTATACAATCAGAAATGACAATACATGTATTTGATGCAATTATACCCACTATTTTAGTTCTTTTTTGAGCCTGTAATTTTAATGATCAAATATCGAAGATCAAGTTTATTTATTCTTAGAAACGTTTATTATATATGATAAAAGTGCTGTAACACATTTATCTTTAGAAAACAAAATTATAATTTTTTACAGTATAACTTTTATTGTAAGATGTGAGTTATGTTTTATCGTGTGTATTCCTTGCATATTATTTACACAAAAGGTATAAAAAAGAAGATCTCTACGCAAGACATTAACAATTCTAAGTTAGAATTTATAATTAATCTACAGCAGTATGGCACTCTTTCAACATTCTAGATTTCATTTCTGCTTCAAGTTTGCAGCGCAAACTTCAGAAATTTGGAGAATATTTACTACATTAATTAGTTACTTTTTTCAGTAATATAAATTTTTATCATGATGATTATGATTATGGAGATAATTACATGAATATTATAAATGACAATAAAAAATAAATTATAAGTGCAGTTTTGATTTTAAGCCTTCAATTTTTATAGATTACATCTAGAAAGATAAATTTATCGATTCTTCTTCAATAGATGTTTGGGCTTCCTACATTTTTATCTTCAAATTTTTTAGAAATATTACTTTCCTTTTAATTTTTTAAATATTTTCTTTTATTCTCCTTTTTTTCTAGGAATAACCTCTGGTTTTTGTAGAGATACGTGAATACTATTTTATATCTGTAAACAGTTAAGCTTTCAAACAACTGCTTGCAAACCGCGATTGTCCAGTGCAATCACGTCGCGCGGGACGATCGCCGTGGTGAACTTATTGCAGCAATCGAAATCTTTAGGATGGAGGGTGCTTCGCATGCTCCTTCCCCCGGCGAGATAATTTCGGAGCAGATGTATTCGCTCTATCGCGCTATTTGAGCGCGGAAAGTACCCTCTCCGTCCAGGAAGCATCGTCGCGGACACAAAGTATAAGCGCATCACCCCGGCAGGATCTTCGGTAGGTCCTCACACCAAGACTCAGGCACGCTCCCCGGCGCGTTTACAGCTTGCGTAAATCTCGCCTTTACGATCGCCGTAAACTCGCCTCGATCCTCGAAATACGTGGGGTAGCTCGGAGTCGCCTTTAAGGCCGCGGATCTGCGAGAGGTCAGTCGATTCAGGACTGTCCGACGAACATATAATTTTGTAGGACACTTCGAGGTTTAGTGACGATAGTGCAAATAGCCGTCACCAAATAAATTCCTTGATTTACGCGAATGGAGCCGGTAATGGAAGCGAGCGAAGCGTGCGGAATGGATATATGCCTCTATTAGACTGGAGAAAGATATCGGATTGGATGGAATCTCTGTTATTTTTTCTTTTACTGTTTCTAGAAAAACAAAAATAAATATGATACAATTGCAGTGACACTCTCAGTTTAAATAATAAGTCTCGATTAAATAATAATCATAACTCTGCTGTCCTTTCCTGGTTAAAAATCTTATTGATGATATGAAGAAAAGAAGAAAAGTAATTACTGTAAAGTCAATTCCAAATGACATTCTTCTGTCAAAGTTTGAGAAAGACTTTTTCTGCAGACATTCATCATGCGCGACCTTATTTTCAATGCGATTGATTAGCACTCAAGTGAAAGAGAAATGAATGAAATTTCAATTTTGTAAAATACATATATCATAGAGACTATTATTTCGAAATTGAGGTTGTAGATAGAATAAGGACATACTATTTATTATGCATTGATTTTCCGATTGCATATAAAGAAATTCTAAAATGTTTGAACAATTGCAAAGTTATACAAGGGTACAATATCTTTTTTTAATATAAATAAAGTAAATGATTATCACACTTTTTATAATACTTTGCAAATTATCAAATTATAAACACAGTGTAATTTAAAAATATATCCTGTAATGTATGCAATTTTTCGAATTTACGTTTTTTATTTTTATACATAATAATTATTAACTTGGATAAAAAGTAAAAGTATAATATAAAATATAATAATATAAAATAATGTAAACATATATATGTTTGAATATAATATAATATATAGAATAAATAATAAATATACATAAATTAATTTGACAACGACATTATTATATCAACAAATATTATAAAAAATACGTAAAATATTTATTATATTTCTTTAATGTGATAACAACTTAATGTTATATATAATCCACCGTTTAAAATTATAAAATTTTTAACAAATTGGCAAACATTTCTTAAAATAATACTAAAGTAAAAGATGCATGATCCATAACTTTCACAATTAAGAGATTAAATACCGTTATATCTTCTTAAAAGTTATCTCGTTAGCATGACTGTCCATGAGTAAATGTAAAGTATTGCAAAAAGTTTACGAGTGCTGGAGTTTATTACTGATATTTTTCATCATTTTGACGTACTATCGAAGGCTTATGCAACCAAATGGTACATGTATATAATACGCGCAATATTACGGCAAGTTCCGTAAAAATTTAAAATAGAGCGGCTCTAAAACTTCCGCCAATACAGTATTTTCCGATAATACCCGGACATTAAGTACATAATTTAATGATCAGAGGGTTGCCTTAGTTGCATCGCTTCTTTATAGTGTTACTGTAGCAGTTAGATAAAAATAAGTAAGTTATTAATTACAACGTTAAATCACACATTTATAGATAAATTTATTTTAAATTTATATCAAATTTATTTATATATTTATAAATAAATTTATATAAAAAGTTAATAAATACGTTATAGGTAAATTTATCTATAACGTGTTTATTAATTTGTACAGTATTATCCAAAATTTTATGTGTCTCACGGCAAATTTTGATACTCTATTCGAAGATGATGTTTTTACTTGTATTTCCATCATCGAAATCATGTCGCGAATAATTGCATTATGACACTGTAGTAGGATATTATCGACTGCAAGCGGAAATTGTCGATAATATAATTCTTGTAAGAGCGGGGATTACATAAGAGCAGGCGTGAACGCGTGTCTGTGGAAAATAGATAGAACTGAAGAAGGGAGGAAGTAGGGAGGAGAAGGCATGATAAAGTGTAATTACGTACGGCGCAGTGAGTCCAATCAGACGGCCGAGCAAACAGAAGAAAATTTCGCCGTGAAAGGGCCGTGAGGGAGTGCGAATCGGAACGGATTTCTGATTTCGAGCTTTAGCAAGATGAAAAGCACGCCTCTTGGGCTGTTTATTAACGGTAATTTTTTCTTACACGTTGTGAACCAATGCAATCGGATGCTCTCTAATAGAGTAGTATGTCACTATACGCTTGTAAGATATTTTATCAATGTTATTATTTATTATAATTATTTATAATTATTATTTAGACAACAGAGTATACTTTGATGTAGCTTATTCAATGTAATTATTATAATTACTGTTTATTGTATAACTTGTATTTATAAAACGTAGGTCCTATTTTTTAGATAAAAGATATTATAATGAAACATGTATTTATCAAATTGTATAACATGTATAACATCAAATTTAATAGGATGTACATAAACTTGAGTTTACGCAATGTAGTTTACGCACATCCTTTTCGCACAAGCTGCGTTTTCCATTTCTTGCAGAATTGAATATTTTTTTAAAATCTAATATAAGTACTTCTTCTCAAGAGGGTGTCAACCCTTCTGACAGATTCAATTTGACTCATTCTATTCACGGTATGACACATACGTAACTCACCGAAGGACGCAGTCAGTCTGTGGTTTGCTTGAGAGAACACGTCGATAAGTGAAAAAAAAAGATAGAAAAATTTAAGCGAGAGTTATCGTTGCGATGCCGAGGGAATCGACGCATACACGGAATATAGGAAGACGAATCACTGGTATTTCGAACACGTTGCTGCGCGAACGCGTTATTTAATTAAAACTGCGCCAGTTTCCGCTTCTGGTACAATTTGCCAAAAGAGAAAGCAGAGACGCCGCCGGAACGGACAAGGACAAGAGAAAGAGAGAGACAGAAAAATCGTGAGGGGGAACGCGCGAGTTAGCGTAAGAAGTTGAACGAGGTGAAAACGAGAAAATAAAAAACACAGACGAACGTGGGACGACCGTAGGGAGGGTGGCTGATGATGGAGGGATGAAACCGACTCGGGGAGAATGACCTGCACGTGGCTGGAAGAACGGAGATGGACGGGGAATAGCACAATCCGAAAGTTATAAAAGAACTTCTTTCTGCTACTTAAAGAAAAGACGCCGGCGAAGGTCCTGCGAAGGAAATGGCGTGGGAGAGGGCGGCGGAGAAGAAGGGGTGGGACAGACGGTGGAAACGGAGAAACGGAAGAACGGCTCTCGTCAAAAAGAGAGCAAACCACTCGGCGCGGACTCCCCGCTGGTCTTGGCTGTTCGGGCCGGCTAAGAACGTGTAAAGATTCTTGACCATCGGAAGGAAGGAAGGAAGAGAGAAACGCGCGGAACGAAAGGGCAGAGGAAACGGGACTGACGCAAGTACGCGCGCGAGAGAAAAACTGAATAGTTGGCAAAGGAAAGACGGCGAGAAGAGCCGAGGAGGAGGGAAAGGGAGTGAGGGTTGTCCGGCGGGGATGTCCCGGGACCAATTTCTATATCACGGAACTCACGATTGGACAACGCGGACTCGGAATGGAAAACAAAACGAAGTTTCTCAATTTGAAAAACTTGTACGTTTTCGCGCTCTCGCGTTTTCACGGGCGAGCGGAGTGATCGGCGATAGTGTACACACGTCTATTTATGTATTACAGGATGGAATGTAATATGAGTAGACGTACTGTATATATTTCGAACGATTAACTCCGATAAATTTCGACGAACTCCGATTAACTTATCAAGCAACGCTATATTGCATGGATGGAATCTGTCAATATATTCACATTACATTACATTAGGTACATTTAGAGATTGTATTTGAATGTATAAATTTCTTCTTTTCTTTATTTTATCTTTCAATTAAAATTAAATGGTTTATTTATTTCGTGTTTTTCACGTTTGCATCGTTATCTTTGCTTCCCTGAGATGTACATGCTGATAATAAACA